CGTTGAATAAAATTGTGTTGAACTTAATCAATAACTTATTGGGCGGTCTAATCTATTGGTCTATTTATCTATAATATGTAAAACAAACAATTTTTTGGAGAGAAGCTTTGAGAAGCCTTTCCTTCTTTATTTCTAATTTTGTAGATTTTTCAATTATTTAATTAAATTTTAAAAATTTCTTCAAACCATATTTTGACTTCTGTAAGTTATAACTACCCACTCTTTCCCCCCACTAATTATCCACTACCTATTTAAACTTACTAACAATGCACCACGTGTGTTGTACGCGAATTTTTTTGTTGAAACATTTGATAAAATATCTAATTATGTAACTAAATTAGATATTATCTCATATTTATCATACATAAACTATTAGTATTCTCTTTATAACTATAAACATTCAATTGACTCATTTTCTATGATTATTTCATTTGAGCTACCAAATAGTAAGAGTTATAGATTTTTATTTTCTTGATTTTTTTTTGTCTTTCTTGCTTTTACTTTGTGCCTCAATAGTTTTTTACCAAATTATTTTGATCGTGAATGAAGAGAAATATTATACATATCTATTTTTGGGCATTAGAGATGCTATGGTATCAATAGAGTTGTCGACGTGTATTAATATTGAGATTTGAGAAAAAATATAATATTTTTTATATATTGTATNTTTTTACTTTGTGCCTCAATAGTTTTTTACCAAATTATTTTGATTGAGAATGAAGAGAAAAATTATACATATCTATTTTTGGGCATTAGAGATGCTATGGTATCAATAGAGTTGTCGACGTGTATTAATATTGAGATTTGAGAAAAAATATAATATTTTTTATATATTGTATTAAGTATAACATGATCATTCAAAAGTTTTGTAAAAATAGAGAGATTTAAATAATTTGTTAGAGATTAGTTTGTTGTTTAAATACATGGGGATATAATAGTAATTTAAGTATTTAAATACAAAATGATATATTAACCATTATAGTTTTTTATAAGGAAAAAATAGTAAATCAAAATTTTTTCATGTTAAGGTACTTTTATTAGTAGCATAAATTTAAAAAATTACTTTTCTTACTCAGTAACTNCATAACATGATCATTCAAAAGTTTTGTAAAAATAGAGAGATTTAAATAATTTGTTAGAGATTAGTTTGTTATTTAAATACATGAGGATATAATAGTAATTTAAGTATTTAAATACAAAATAATATATTAACCATTATAGTTTTTTATAAGGAAAAAATAGTAAATCAAAATTTTTTCATGCTAAGGTACTTTTATTAGTAGCATAAATTTAAAAAATTACTTTTCTTACTCAGTAACTTTTAATAATTCTTTATCTAGCTTTTCAAATATAAGAATGATAAAGGGAGAATTATTAAAAAAAATGACGAGTTATAAATACCGTGTATCACACTGGTGGGATTACTAGCACAAACATATGTATAACATATCAACGCCTATCAATCTCAATATATAAGATATATAAAAAGAGCAAGCACACCAAATTTGTGCACCAAAAATTGTTAACTGTTGGATCAGTGGGACCCACTATCATCCAACCTTTGACAATGATTTAGTGCACACTTTTGGGCACAAATTTGATCAACATGAAATTATCTATATTAAAAGGTCGAGGAGACATTGACCGGNCCAACCTTTGACAATGATTTAGTGCACACTTTTGGGCACAAATTTGATCAACATGAAATTATCTATATTAAAAGGTCGAGGAGACATTGACCGGAACGCACTTCAATGGCATTACAAGTACTAGGAAAAAATATTCTTTTTAAAATCGTTCACATTGCACCGTGACTTTAGGTAGTAAGAAGATATAATGCACCAAAANAGTACTAGGAAAAAATATTCTTTTTAAAATCGTTCACATTGCACCGTGACTTTAGGTAGTAAGAAGATATAATGCACCAAAAACTGAGCTGCATGGGTAGACTAAGGGGGGAAAAATGGAGAAAATTAATTTCGATTATTAGTACGCTATCAAAAATTATTATAACAAAGAATAGTTTTATTATTTAGTTCAGGGAGATCAAGATTCAATTGGGTGTGATTATTAGAATAAATTGTTCTTATTTTTTTGTTTCATAATTTCTTTGTAATACAATATTAAAATGAAATTCTTTGGTATGAAAATAATCGCGGTGAACAAGGCATCATTGTCTATATATAGGCATTGTTTCTCACTGAGAATCAGTGAGCAGCTTCTTCTTTTTAATTATCTCGTATTTAAAGAGCTTATCAGGTAAGTTCTTTAAAGCTCATGAATTAAATACATATGTAGGAGGTTGTTAGGTATGGATTTTAATTGGGGTGCATTAAAATTCATGATGTTTTGGTGATTGAATGGAAAAACAGTAGGTTTAAAAATTTTATTATATAATAAAAAATTTTATTATTTTTGTGGGTGATTTATTACTTTGGTGGGTATTTTTGTCACTACTGTCGTATTACTTTTTTTCGATACAAAAAAAAAAAA